CCAGTTTAGTGAGCAATATGCATCAGATGGTCAGTGAGCGAACTGTGGGCGTCTGAGGCTGAGACTACTGTAGGCCACAGCTGGTGCTACTTTGTTGCTTGTATTGCTTGCCAAATCACCTTAGTGCTTTTAGACCCATGTTAAACATTTGGTGGTTAGGTGGTGGCTGTACAGCGTTTGATATGAAGGACTCCATCTGATTTCCTGACCCCATTGATTGCAAGCAGTGCTACTGAACTTAATTAGTCCTGGTGCCAGTTCAGTGCAGTCAGCATGACCCAGCCCACACCACCCTCACATCTCTGGCTTCTTATCAGTTCAGACTGCACCAAAGAGCGCTCTCCCACTGGAGATGTCTCCAACTGACCAAACATACTGTACAGAGCCACAAACACTGGGTATGTGTGTGCATAAGCTAGTAGTGATGTCCAAGTCTAATGATGTGCTAGGCATTATACTGTAGCACTCATTGCCTTGTGTCAATATAGCATAGTGATGGATTTTATAGAAAGAAACATCAGTAAAATTACATTTATAAAAAACTTTTGTCTCACTTTTACTTCTTGTCTGTTTGTCCATCCATCCATCCATATACTGTATATATATATATATATATACACACATACATACACACACATGTGAATCATCTGAACTGTATATCATTGTGATCTGCATGTCTGCACTCCCAAAATCCAGCCTTCAGCTGTTCGCTTGACCCTATAGGCCATGTTAGTGGCCCAGCCTATGGGCCATTACAGTCTAAAAGGACCATTGTTACAATGTTTTTTTCTTCTTCAGTTCTTTACCTCTGGTTTAGCATATATTCACTGCTTATCACAATAAAAATTAGTCCGAATATAAACTGTAAGCTCCCTTACTATATATGGTTCTAATGGGATAATTCTGTATTTTACTGTAATTTTACAGTAAAATGCTGTTAAATGTACAATTTTTAGAAGTTAAAAAAACCCAAATTATTTTATAATTTACGATGGAAATTCGCTCACATTTGATGTTTTTTAATTTGAAATGTTTCTTCTTAGTATTTTCTTTTCAGTTACATACAGTAGGGTTTTATGTTACATCTTGTGTTGTTAAATGAATGTTTATTGCATTATTTTAGTGTTGTGTGTTACCATGATGGTGTTTTGTGTTTGTGTGTATGATACCGAGCATCTGCTATATACTATATTAGTATTTTCCTCCGCTTGTATGCTATATACTCTGTTAGTATTTTCCTCAGCTTAAATGTGTGTGCACTGTAAAAACAACTCGTAAATGACTGGCAGCTACGGCTGCCAAACAAAAAACGTAAAATTAAAGTAAAATATCTTAATTTAAATAATTTTACAGAAATTTTTATTAAAGGTTTTACAGAAATTTGTTTTTTATTTGACAGATTTTTCCTTGTTTCAATTAGGATATTTTACTTTAATTTTATGGTTTTTGTTTGGCTGCCGTAGCTGCCAGTCATTTACCTTTTTTTTGCGGGACTTTTTTTTACAGTGTAAAACCCTTATTTTACAGATTTTTCCTAGATTATTACAATGAAAGCACTAAATGTTCTACAGATAAACACTGTTATTTTACAAATCATTACAATCAAAAACCTTCAATAAAGTGTCAAAGCATGCTCAAGATGAAAAATTAAGCTTTATTTGGAAGACAAAATACAAAGTCTGTACAAATGCCATATAAAATAAAAATTGTACATGGTTTTTGTTTGGCTGCCGTAGCTGCCAGTCATTTACCTTTTTTTTGCGGGACTTTTTTTTACAGTGTAAAACCCTTATTTTACAGATTTTTCCTAGATTATTACAATGAAAGCACTAAATGTTCTACAGATAAACACTGTTATTTTACAAATCATTACAATCAAAAACCTTCAATAAAGTGTCAAAGCATGCTCAAGATGAAAAATTAAGCTTTATTTGGAAGACAAAATACAAAGTCTGTACAAATGCCATATAAAATAAAAATTGTACATTTCAGTTTAAGAAATACAGCACAATTACATTTAAAATACTGTACTGATGAAGAACATAGAACATTTTCATCAAAATGTTGAATTAAATATATTCTTATATATATTCGGGTTGAAGGTCCAAATTTCAGTTTCAATGCAGCTTTCAAAGTTTTAGGTAGGGGTGGTTGACTCTTAACTTTTATAAAGAATATCTCTTTGGATTTGAGACTTTAGTCTAGGGATGTAACGGTATGAAAATTTCTAATCACGATTATAGTGACCAAAATGATCACGGTTATCGGTATTGTTAAAATGTGCTGAAAATGTTCAAAAAGTACTGACACACAAATCATTTCACCACGTTTTACATTTAAATTCAACAAACAACAAATAAAATGAGTTTTTGTTTGCATAACTAAAACAATAACATTGCCAATGATGTCTGGATTTTAAATGACAACATGACTGACAACAGTTTATCTAATAGCATGTTCAAATATCTAATGTAAATGTTCAAATAAAGCTTTGAAAAAGTTTCATAAAAGCTGAAATGTGAGGTTTACCATTTAAATAAAGAAAAGTGTCAAGTCAAAATGATAATTGATTAATAAATGATTATATGTATTAAGCAAAATAAGCTTCTCATTTTCATCAACCGGTCTAAATTTACTGCAGGGCATGCAAATTCGGTCCATTTTTTGGCCCAGACAAAAACTGCACCCAGGCTGAATGTAAATGTAACTCTCTGTAGCTTTTGGAACAGTAGAATTGGAGCTGTTTCCCGTAACCTCCAAGGACAAAGCAGCATTGCGCTTAAAACACTACTTTATTAGGTATTACATGGAGCGAAGACGAAAACAAAATGCCATCAAATATTTTCCGAAGACAGTCAGAATCTTCAGAGGTACATTCATATAATTAATTCATCCATATATTCATTTGTATAATTCCCTTGGCACTCTTTAAAACCTCCCAGCTTGTCCTTCATGTTTTCACACAAAACTAAACCACTCTGCTGCTGTGCGCACACGAGACTGTTACTTAAAACTGTGTTTTATGCTGCAGGGCTCCAAACTCATTCTTTCCACTGGTCGCTCTTTTGCGACTAGCTTTCTCAGTTGGTCACACCAGTACATGATTTGGTCGCAATGTTTTTATTTTTAGGGATTAATCAGTGCATGCTGATAAACTTTTATCATAGTTTATAGTTATATGAAAACAAAAGTGATTAACATTCAACCCCTTCTTTTTCATCAGTATTATTTGTGATTTAAATTTTAAAGGGAGTTTCTCTTTAGCCATTTATAAGCCAGGGTTTGGGTGCTTTCACTTTCGAATTCGCGATCTTAGTATCACGTTTTACAAGAAAAGATAATTGTCTCATTTGCTTACATACATCTATACATAGGCCTATTTCACTTTTTAAGACTAAAACAAAAGATGGATTCATTGTTATTCTTAATTAAAAAGCATAACAACAATAAAACGGTAAGATACAATGACAAACTAGCTTACAAAACGTTTATTAACAAAAACTAATAAGACGAGGCATGGCATAACTGCATGCTATATTATATACCGACTAATAAATTACAGAACATTTAGCAAACACTGAGGAATCAAAAAAAAGAAAAAAAAAAGAAAAGTAAAACTAAACTTGCTGTCAGAGACGGTGCTTGCATGTTTTTTCCCCACAAGAATACCAACATGTTCACCTTTGGTTTAAGAAGCGGTCTTTTACTTTACTTTAGCTTGAAAACCAATATTCGCGTCATTTTTGATTTGCGCTCCTACTGATGTGGCGAGTATAAACCAGGCTCTACATTCTATAAGTGCTGCGCAGTTCAAACGACTCATGCGGTTTCGTTATGCTTTCAGTACAGAGACGGTGCTTGCATGTTTTTTCCCCACAAGAATACCAACATGTTCACCTTTGGTTTAAGAAGCGGTCTTTTACTTTACTTTAGCTTGAAAACCAATATTCGCGTCATTTTTGATTTGCGCTCCTACTGATGTGGCGAGTATAAACCAGGCTCTACATTCTATAAGCGCTGCGCAGTTCAAACGACTCATGCGGTTTCGTTATGCTTTCAGTATCGTTTGATGTTTCTCATATGCAACAGAAATGGCAGCGCTTATGAGTTAAATAATGCGGTGTTCGCGCCAGTGCGACCGCACAAAAAATTTAGTCACACCGGCAGATAAAATTAAAGCAAAATGCGGCCATCTGGTCGGAGCCCTGTGCTGGGCAGTATTTATTTATCCTCAGTTGTTCAAATCGCGGTAACCGAATACGGTTATTGTGATCATTAAAATATGAAACGGTATTACTAACCGTGGGGTATTTTATCACGATTTATCATCAAACCGGTAATCGTTACATCCCTACTTTAGTCTTTGCAACTTTACAGATCTTCTTTATGCACCAAGAGCTTGTAACACTCCAAAGAGAAAGGAAAACTTGAAATCGCATCATATGACCTCTTTAATCCACAATTTAGTCACACCGGCAGATAAAATTAAAGCAAAATGCGGCCATCTGGTCGGAGCCCTGTGCTGGGCAGTATTTATTTATCCTCAGTTGTTCAAATCGCGGTAACCGAATACGGTTATTGTGATCATTAAAATATGAAACGGTATTACTAACCGTGGGGTATTTTATCACGATTTATCATCAAACCGGTAATCGTTACATCCCTACTTTAGTCTTTGCAACTTTACAGATCTTCTTTATGCACCAAGAGCTTGTAACACTCCAAAGAGAAAGGAAAACTTGAAATCGCATCATATGACCCCTTTAATCCACAATTTAGTCTGTCTCAGTTTGTTCCGTTTCTTCATGTCATTCCACACAGACTGGATGATGATCAGATCTCTGTGTGGAGCACTGGCTGTTGTCAGACAAAAACCTCACTGGATTATTACAATTAAATGGCAAAATGAATGTTTGGTAATGTAAACTGATATTTCCTCCTGACACATTACCGCAAAAGATAGAAATAACTGACTTAAAACCATTTTTTAGCTGCTGAAAATACTAGTGTTCTAATCATTTTGGGCACCACTGTAGCTCTGATAATATATGTAGACAAACATATGTATTTTAATTCTGAATTCTAGCTATATTAGTGTAATAATAAGTAAAACCAAAACATTCAACAAAAGGTCCATGACTCTGCTCCAGAAGTGACAGACACAGCAGATAAAGAGCAGTCCTCCTCCAAATTGCCAGTAATCAGCTGGCTCAGCTGGGGGTAAAAAAAGAAAAGATTGCGAGAAGACACCTGTTTTATCTGGGATTAAAACAAACTAAAACATGGAAGAAAAATACTGTGAACATTCCTTTAAAAATAAATTAATGTTAGTATGTCTTAATGTTAGACATAAATACTCACTTCCTCTGAAGATCATGTGGTAGAAGATTTTCTTTCCCAAAACTTCTGGATCATGAGGGGGAAGCACACACACAAACAAATTAATATCAATTTGTTTAATAAAACACTATCTACTTACTGACAGAGACATGGGCTTGCAAAAATGTACTCACCAGCTCCATACAAAATCTTCACAGTTGATCCAAAATCCTGGTTTACATACAGTATTCTTCTCCAAGGAATCCAAAGATCTTGCTTCACTTTTTGAGTTTGATCTTAAAACTAGCTAGGCGATATGACCATATTATTTCACAATATAGGACATTTTATTTCACAATAACAGTATATCACAATACAGTTATTTTTGTTATTTTATTAAACATAAGATCAAAGTATCAAATTACAAACAATAGGACTAATGCAACAGGACAAAGGTAAGTTAAATAAATTGTGATTTTCTCTTTAGTATTTTGTTGTTTGATTAAAATTATGACCGACTGCAGGTAATGTCAGGCTAAATTATACTGCTGTCACTTTAAGAAGAAAATGCACAGATACAGTATACTGACACGTCACCGGGTTTCCACCATAGACTGTATAAAAACATGGACGTAGTGTCCGTGACGTCACCCGTTGATTTCCGAAGAGCGTTTTTGAAGCTCAAAAGTGGGTGGAGGCGGGAGCAGGTTGCTGAAGCCACGCCCACCTAGCTCGACGGTGGTGACAGCAGCGGCAATCCACCTGTCACTCAAGTGGCCACGCCCTTAATTATGCAGAACTTTAAGGCTTAATAGAATTTAAACGGATGAGTTATAAAAAAAATTCACCCTCCTCACAGTTGTCATGAAGGGCAAAATTAGCTATATAGACCAAAATATTTTTTTGAACCAGGCTGTAAACATGTTTTTTTCTGCTGTAAAGTTGGGCATTCTGAATTCTAGCTATATTAGTGTAATAATAAGTAAAACCAAAACATACACAACAAAAGCTCCATGACTCTGCTCCAGAAGTGACAGACACCGCAAATAAAGAGCAGTCCTCCTCCAAATTGCCAGTAATCAGCTGGCTCAGCTGGGGGTAAAAAAAGAAAAGATTGCGAGAAGACACCTGTTTTATCTGGGATTAAAACAAACTAAAACATGGAAGAAAAATACTGTGAACATTCCTTTAAAAATAAATTAATGTTAGTATGTCTTAATGTTAGACATAAATACTCACTTCCTCTGAAGATCATGTGGTAGAAGATTTTCTTTCCCAAAACTTCTGGATCATGAGGGGGAAGCACACACACAAACAAATTAATATCAATTTGTTTAATAAAACACTATCTACTTACTGACAGAGACATGGGCTTGCAAAAATGTACTCACCAGCTCCATACAAAATCTTCACAGTTGATCCAAAATCCTGGTTTACATACAGTATTCTTCTCCAAGGAATCCAAAGATCTTGCTTCACTTTTTGAGTTTGATCTTAAAACTAGCTAGGCGATATGACCATATTATTTCACAATATAGGACATTTTATTTCACAATAACAGTATATCACAATACAGTTATTTTTGTTATTTTATTAAACATAAGATCAAAGTATCAAATTACAAACAATAGGACTAATGCAACAGGACAAAGGTAAGTTAAATAAATTGTGATTTTCTCTTTAGTGTTTGATTGTTTGATTAAAATTATGACCGACTGCAGGTAATGTCAGGCTAAATTATACTGCTGTCACTTTAAGAAGAAGATACAGTATTACAGTATACTGACACGTCACCGGGTTTCCACCATAGACTGTATAAAAACATGGACGTAGTGTCCGTGACGTCACCCGTTGATTTCCGAAGAGCGTTTTTGAAGCTCAAAAGTGGGTGGAGGCGGGAGCAGGTTGCTGAAGCCACGCCCACCTAGCTCGACGGTGGTGACAGCAGCGGCAATCCACCTGTCACTCAAGTGGCCACGCCCTTAATTATGCAGAACTTTAAGGCTTAATAGAATTTAAACGGATGAGTTATAAAAAAAATTCACCCTCCTCACAGTTGTCATGAAGGGCAAAATTAGCTATATAGACCAAAATATTTTTTTGAACCAGGCTGTAAACATGTTTTTTTCTGCTGTAAAGTTGGGCATTTTAAGATGGGGAGTCTATGGAATTGACTCCCTTTTGCAGCCAGCCTCTAGCGGCCAGTTGACGAATTACAGTTTAAGTCACTTCCTTGTTGGCTTCACGAGAGAGAGCGGGAGGTTGCCGCTTGGTTTCCACCTAAATGTTAATCTTGACTCCAAACATTAGCGACTGTGTTTAAGTCAAGTGAATTTTGAGATGACTGTGTGTATTTGACCATTCAAGTGAGGCGCGGCTTTGTGTCTTCACTCATTTCATCACCATGCACATCCTGCTATTTATTCCTCATTAATGCACATTTCTTTATCAACTCTAAGTAGTACTGTGCTCTAAGTTTCTATGTTGCGCTTCATATCATCGCCACGACATGGTCATATATCGCCCAGCCGCAGCTAACAGTATTAGCTCATACTAACAAAACACAGTAACACACACTGGTAGGACATTGAGATGTATAATCGCGATTAGCATCTCACTTCAATGCACTGTATCTTGATGTAACTAAAGAACATTATATAAGGTACTTAACTTTACTTACCTTTTGCAGTTTGCATGTCTGTTAGCTGCTGGTAGAAGTCTGCGTCCATAGTCGCGTTTATTTTTTCTCAATCGTCATCCCACAACCTAAACTCGCTCAAAATATAAATGAAACAGTCGGACGTAAAATAATCCATGTAAAAGCCATTACAGTTGAACCGAACGAAGCAGACTGCAGCAGAGGCCGATCGGCGGCACACACTGCAACAGGGTATTTTCAAATTTAACCGGGAAAACGGCGCGCTCACTCATTGGCCAGATTCCTGAGTGACGGTCAGATTAACCAATTACGCTCAAAGCAACACTGCGAGACCGCAAATAGCATTGCAACTATGAAAAAAATAAATAATAACTTGTTTTAAGTGAAATATTACAATTTCTATTTATTTTTATTTGTAGGTTGTTACATTTAATAAATTGTTCAAATGGTGATTTCACATTATGCTAGGCCTAGGGTTATGTGCATCTGAGCTATTCACTGTTCACCACCCCTCATTTCCCTACTGACCTGCTGGAACCCACATGAAGCCATCCTAGAATTTTAGGGTTAAATTAGGTTTAGGGCCAGAGGGACTATGTTTTCAGACAGGAGGGACTATGTTTTCAGACAGGATCAATAAAATATGCTGATTTAGGAACAGGTCTTGGCAAAATCATGGCAGTCATGTGTGTGTGTGTGTGTGTGTCTGATATTTATCACATGATGGGGACCAAATGTCCCCACAAGGATATGTCCCCATGAGGAAACATAGAGCTTATAAAGAATTAAGTTTTTTGAAAATCTAAAAATGCATAAATTTTCCTGTGATGGGTAGGTTTAGGTGTAGGGCGATAGAAAATACAGTTTGTACAGTATAAAAACCATTATGTCTATGGAATGTCCCCATAAAACATGGCAACACAACATGTGTATGTGTGTGTGTACGTGTTTGGCTACTTGTGCAGTTATATTTACATGACCAATAAGCACCCTTTTGTGTTTTAACAAATCCATGATCTTCCTTTAAGCACCAGTTGCGCAGCTATGGCATTTTCATTTGGCCCTTCAGTGTTACACAGCCTGTTGGTTAATACTCTGTCCACCATAACACTTATTTAAAAATAATGCCATAATTGCATGCAAGTTACAAAATTTGTCTACATACTTTTATTTAATAGCATAGATATTGCAAGCTATTGACTGCAGTAGGACTTTATAGCATTTGTGAAATGAGACAATGTAAACTGAAAATTTTGAACTTCTCACCATAGAAAGTGAAAGTCTGTTTTTTTTAGTTATTCAGAAGTAAAGACAATGTATAGGTTGGCCCTAAGAGCAATGTTCCATTATGAACATTGTTGTCCTTCCCACATAGCAAGCGATCTTGGCCCAAATGTGACCTCAAGCTGGAACTGCTGGCCTCCTGTCGGCAATGGCAGGTACCCTTTCAGCCAGAGCTGGGCCATGTGTGGTGATGGTACAGCATGGATCACAGCAAACATGAGGGCCGATTGCTAGTGGGAGGAGTGTGGCCCAGATCAGTCCAGCGATTATGTGGCCCAAATCAGGCTTGTGATATGACAGCATATTTATTATGTGACCCATGATAAACAAGATAAATAAAATATTGCATGATAATGGTTAAATGATCACAGAAATTTTAAAGAAGTGTAGTATTGTTTAAATGTTAAGCAAAATTAAGCAAATCAGTAAATCAGTCAACTGCAATAAACGGCACTTAATTATAATTTATATTATATTTTATATTATTCTTCTCAGAACAAATAATATTAGAATCCTTACATAAAGAGAGAGAGAGAGAGAGAGAGAGAGATCATTTAACCATTATCATGCAATATTTATTTGGTTTACCATGGGGGACATACATTTATTAATATGCTGTCATGCACAAGCATTAAATAACATGATCATAAAAGTATTTTTATTCAGATCTTACGTGTGATGCTTTGTGTGAGGAACAGATCCAAATTCAAACCATTCCGCGATATATATCTCCTTCCTCTGTAGCTATAGTAACAATTTCAAAATTTGCCGTTAAGAAATTTTACAACAAGTTTTACGACAGCGACATCAAACTCTTATTGGCTCTCGACGGTTTCGTCATAGATTGCGACATGCCGTGTTTCCGGTGATGCGTGTTTTGAATGAGGATCGCACGCCTTTAAGGAGTGGATCGGGATAGTATTTGCAGCATTTAACAACTTAAATTATGCCCTGCTCCTCACACTAAATTATTATATTCCGCCAGAGAGGACTGCGACTGCAACGCGTCGTCATTTGGACTACTGTGGTACTGCTTTTTGATATTTCTGCAATAAATTCTTTTGATTACACGTGTCTGTTTGTTGCATTTCTCTTATTGACTGTATACTTTATACACTCACTCTTTATTGGTTGATTTTTTCTTTATAAAAATAATTTTCTTTAATGCAATACATTTTTATTGCACAGTTACATGGTTTGTGGATTTTAAGGCTGATTTTCTATTCTATATATATTAGATTTCTATTCATTATAAAATAACTTTTTTACTTAAAATTACTTAATTTTACCGTATTAAAAAATGAGAAATTCTGTAATTTGTCATTAATGATATAATCCTTAATATAATGGTCAAGTTGTTAATTTACAGATATTGTTCGTAATTTTCCATGAATTTGTATGTAATTTATGAAAACAGGAAAAATACTTGATAAATTAGTGGTCGACCGATATATCACCAAGGCCGATATATCGGCCGATATATTTTTCAAATATCGGCATTGGTCCGATAAGTTTTTCTGATTGGCCGATGCGGTTGATGCGAGACTTTTATTTTGATGGCGTGCCGGAGTTTTATTTTGACTGCGCTGACAGTGTCTCCCTCTTGTTCGCAGTTCGCAGGTCGTAGTTAACAGTTCTGTCTAATACGGATAGAAGTCTGTCTAAAAATCAGATAGAACTGTTAAACAAAGGAATTAAAATGTATACAAAAAGTATTATAACGATTGCTTTTATATTATTACTAGTAGAAAGGCAAACATTATAATACTTTCTCGTTTGCCGTGAGCATTCAACAAATACGCATTTACACCATTTAAACAAATATTTGAATTGCTAATGAAAATTTAATTTCACAAACCTGGCAAACTTAGTCGAATCCAGTTGTGAGATCTAGTAATGCGTGCATGTGACCTGCATGATCGTGTGTTCTCTGCGTTACTTTCGGTCTGTGCAAATTGAATGCTTTAAACATTAAATTCGTGATTTCAAATTATGCTGCGCTTTATGCATTTGCCCACTGTCATATTCATGTCATTTTCACTGTGTGCTGTATTTGAAAAAATGTGATTCCCAATGCGCACAAACTTCCCAGAATACTGAGTGCTTTGTTGGTTACAGTTTACTTCCTTTTCAATTAGATTTTTATTAAATATTTATTTATTTGTGGAAAATACTACATCTAAAGTATAAGTATGTTTATTTTACAAATTTATTTTTGATCTATTTTCAAATGATTTCAAATTTCTTAAATATTAATTAAAATAAATACAATTATATCAGTTTTATATCGACCATCGGCCACCCTGCTTTCCAAGATATCGGCATTGGCATCGGCATCGGCATCAGCTGTCAAAAAACCAATATCGGTCGACCACTATTATAAATAATACAGTAATTTTTTGTATAAAAAAGAGAATTACTGTAATTTGTCATTAATGGAATAATACTTAAAATAACAGTCAAGTTGTTAATTTACATATATTGTTTGTAATTTTACATGAATTTGTATGTCATT